GCTGCTGCTGCTGCTGCTGCTGCTGCTGCTGCTGGTGATGCTGCTGCTGCTGCTGCTGCTGGTGATGCTGGTGAGGCTGGTGATGGTGGTGCTGGTGGTGGTGCTGCTGCTGGTGGTGGTGCTGCTGCCGGTGGTGCTGGTGAGGGTGCTGCTGGTGACGCTGCTGCTGCTGCTGCTGCTGCTGCCGCTGCTCTTGCTGCAGCTCCTCTTGCTGCTGCTGCTGCGGATGGGTTTGCCCTGCCGGCAGGTCTGCTGCTGCAGCTGGTGCTGCTGCTGTTGCTGCTGCTGCTGCTGCTGCTGCTGTTTGACTTGCTGCTGCCTGTGATGCGGTAGCTTCTGGCATTTGTATTTCTGCTGCGGTGTTTGCTGCTGCTGCTGCTGTTGTTGCTGCTGCTGCAGCTGTTGCTGCAGTTGCTGCTGTTGCTGCTGCTGCTGCTGCTGCTTCTATGGGCTCTTCAGTATCAGCAGCACACATAGCGAGGGAGAGGCGCAGCAGCTGCTGCTGCGCTATTTGCTGCTGCTGCTGCTGCTGCCAGAGCAGGTGCAGCAGCGTGTGTCTTTTGAATAGATCTGTGTGGGGTTGTCTTTTTTGCTGCTGCTGCTGCTGCTGCTGCTGCTGCTGCTGGTGTGTCTGACCTATCACAGCAGAAAGACTCCTAGTACCATTTCCACCCTTCCCCCCGCTGCCGCTGCTGCTGCTGCTGCTGCTGCTGCTGCTGCTGCTGCTGCTGCTGCTGCTAGCTGAGCGCGCATACATTGCGTGGCCGAAGGGTTTGCTGTTAACCAAAGCCATCTCCACCTCCTGCGTCATCTTCTGTGCTGCCTCTTCTAGCCCTGCAGCAGCAGCAGCAGCAGCAGCAGCAGCAGCAGGAACAGCAGCAGCAGGAACAGCAGCAGCAGCAGCAGAAGGTGACGTTACAGCAAAAGAAGAAGCAGCAACAGCAGCAGCAGCAGCAATAAAAACAGCACGAACGAACCATCTACACCACAACCACCACAACCACCACCACCACCACCACCCCCAGCAGCAGCAGCAACAGCAGCAGCAGCAGCAGCAGCAGCAGCAGACCTGGTATTTTGTCTTCTACAAAGCTCTGAAAGAGCCAGGCGGTGCGCAGCGCAAAGTGAATGTAAGTGCTGCAGACGTCTAGCAAGAAACGATACAACGGAGACAAACCAAACCTGAAGCAGCAGCAGCAGCAGCAGCAGCAGCAGCAGCAGCAGCAGCAGCAGGAGGGGGAGAGGAGGATGAGGAGGAGGAGCAGCAGCAGCAGCAGGAAGAGGACGGACAGAAAAAATTAAAAAAAAGAAGCCACGGGAAAGATAGATATTGCTGCTGCTGCTGCTGCTGCTGCTGCAAGAGGAACAGCAGCAGCAGCAGCAGCAGCAGCAGCAGCAGCAGCAGCAGCAGCAGCAACAATAATAATAAATATAATAAAGACAAAAATAATAAAAATAAAGACAAATGGAAAATAGATATAATAAAAATAAAACAAGAAAACAAAAACAAAAAACAAAAACAAAAACAAAAAACAAAAAACAAAACTAAAGACAACGGCAAAGACAAACAAAGAAAAACTGAAAACAAAACAAAAGACAAAAACCCAGAGACAAAGCAAAGACAAAGACAAAGACAAAAACAAAAAAAAAACTAAAGACAGAGACAAAAAAAAACAAAAGACAACGACAAAGACAAAGACAAAAGACAGAGACAAAAATACAAAAGACAAAGACAAAAGACAAAATACAAAAGACAAAGACAAAATACAAAAGACAAAGACAAAGCAAAAGAGAAAGAAAAAAGACAAAAGACAAAGACAAAGACAAAGACAAAGGCAAAGACAAAAAACAAAGACAAATCCAAAATACAAAAGGCAAAAGACAAAGACAAAAGACAAAGACAAAAATACAAAAGACAAAGACAAAGACAAAGCCAAAAGACAAAAGATAAAGACAAAGACAAAAGACAAAGACAACAGCCAAAAGACAAAGACAAAAGACAAAGACAAAAGACAAA